TCAATTTTTCAGTACTCCCGCCTATGAAATTTTTGATAACTTTTTAACAACCTCGAAAATTAGCTAAAGGTAATTATTGTAGATCACATTGTTTATAGATTTTAACACTCAGAAGTTATTTTTGGCTTCATTTTCGTCAAAAAATGTAACTACTTTTCCAAAATCGCCGATTTTAAGATAAATATTGGCCATTTTGGGTTTTTTTAATCATAGGTGTTAGCCGAATATTTCAGAAACAATCTTTCGAACTTTTTGATTATTTTTCGATCGCCTATGAAAATTAGCTAAAGACATTTTTTTCTACAATTCAACCTCTAGAAGTTATTTTAGGCTTCCTTTCTTCAAAAATTCCTACCATATTTTAGGAATCGCCAATTGTAATATGGCAATTTTTATAATGATTAAAATATTTGTTTTCAAACCGAATATTTAAAAACGTTTTCTCTGGAACAATAAAACTTTTATATTTTGGGAATTAGCACGTTGAGATTTACATGTCAGAATTTTTTGTTTATTTTTTACCAACTTTCCCAAAAACTCAATTTTTCAATACTCCCCACCTATGAAATTTTTTTAAACCCTCCAAAATTTGCTAAAGATATTTATTGAAGATTGCATTGTTTGCAGATTTCAACCTTCAGTAGTTATTTTTGTGTTCATTTCGTCCAAAAATTCAACTACTTTTTCAAAATCGCCAATTCAAATGTTGGAAATTTTGTTTTTTTTTAAATTTGAGGTTCCGGAGGAATATTTAAAAAATTGTGATAAAATAACGATAAAACCGCTATATTTTTCAAATCAGCATGATGAGATCCATATCCCAGAACTTTTTATGAATTTTTTGGCCATTTTTCGAAAGCTCAGTTTTTTTCAGAAACAATCTTGAACATTTTTTTCATTTTTTCACCACCTATGAAAATTTGCCAAAGACATATTTTAAGTAGAATTCAACTTCTAGAAGTTATTTTATGCTTCAGTTCTTCGAAAACTCCTATCATTTTTTGCAGAATCGCCACTTGAAATATGGTAATTTTTAGGATTATTAAATTTTTTTTTTTTTCAAACCAGAACTTTTTCTGAATTTTTAGCTCATTTTTCAAAAGCTCAGTCAATCTTGAAATTTTTTACTATTTTTCGGCCTATGAAAATTAGCTAAAGACATTTTTTTGTAGAATTCAACTTCTAGAAATTATTTTAGGCTTCATTTTTTTGAAAATTCCTAACATTTTTGCAGAATCGCTAATTGAAGTATGGCAATTTTTAGAACTATCAAAACAATTTTTTTACCGAATATTTCAAAAAAGGAACTTTTATATTTTTCGAATTAGCACGTTGGACATTTACATGTCAGAATTTGTTGTTTATTTTTGTAGCAACTTTTCCAAAAACTCAATTTTTCAGTAATGCCCCTTATGAAATTTAAACCACCTTCGAAAATTAGCTAAAAATATTTATTATAGATTGTACTATTTGTAGATTTCAACCCCCAAAAGTTATTTTCGGCTCCATGTCTTTGAAAATTACTGCCATTTCTCCAGAATCTTCAATTAAAATATTAGAAATTTTGGGATTTTTTAAAAAATTAACGTTCCAGTCGAATATTTCAAAAATTTCAATGCAAACGTTATATTTTTCAAATCAGCACGTTGAGATCCATATCCCAGAAATTTTTGGAGATTTTAATGTCATTGTTCCAAAAGTTCAATTTTTCAGTAGGCCAATTTTTGAAATTTTAGATAATTTTTTGACCATTTTCGAAAATTGGCCAAAGACATTTTTTGTAGAATTCAACTTCTAGATGTTATTTTAGGCTTTATTTTATCGAAAGTTCTATCATTTTTGCAGAATCGCCAATTGAAATATGGCAATTTTTAGTACTATGAAAAAAATTTTTTTAAGCCGAATATTTAAAAAAGCTTCCTGAAGAACAAAAGAACTTTTATATTTTTCGAATTAGCACGTTGACATTTACATTTCAGAATTTGGTTGTTTCTTTTGTAGCCACTTTTCCAAAAACTCAACTTTTCAATACTTCCCCCTATGAAATTTTTGATAATTTTTCAACCAAAATTAGCTAAACATATTTATTGTAAATTGTACTATTTGTAGATTTCAACCCCCAGAAATAATTTTCGGCTCCATGTCTTTGAAAATTGCTCCCATTTTTCCAGAATCGTCAATTGAAATGTTGGAAATTTTTGAATTTTTTAAAAATTTAACTTTCCAGTCGAATATTTCAAAAATTTCACTACAAACGTTATATTTTTCAAATCAGCACGTTAAGATCCATATCCCAGAATTTTTGGAGATTTTAATGCCACTGTTCCAAACGCTCAATTTTTCAGTAAGCCATTTTTTGAAATTTTTGATAATTTTTCGATCACCTTCGAAATTGAGGACCCGGGGTGGGCTAGTTAGCATCATGCTTGCCCGCTACACCTTGGGTCGTGGGTTCGATTCCCGCCATGGCTCTGGGTGTAACGTGTATGTCCCGTTCCCCTGTAATTGGGCCTCGGTGTCTGTTGGGGGACGTAATTTAATAAAATAAAATAAATAAATAAAATAAATTTTTTTTTATAGAATTCAGCTTCTAGAAATTATATTAGGCTTTATTTGTTAGAAAATTCCTATCATTTTTGCAGAATCTCCGATTGAAATATGACAATTTTTAGAACTATAAATTTTTTTTTAAACCGAATATTTCAAGAAGCTTCCTATGGAACAAAAGAACTTTTATATTTTTCGAATTAACACGTTGACATTTGCATGTCAGAATTCTTGTGTATTTTTTAGCAACTTTTCTCAATTTTTCAATACTACCTCCTAATTTTTGATCATTTTTCAACCACCTTCGAAAATTAGTTAATAATATTTACTGCAGATTGTATTTTTTGTACATTTCAGTCCCCAGAAGTTATTTTCGGCTCCATATCTTTAAAAAAATTACGACCATTTTTCCAGAATCGTCAACCGAAATTTAGCAGGTTGTATGATTTTGAAAAAAATTGATTTTCAAACAGAATTTAAAATATGATTTTGCAATTTTTTTGAGAAAACGTCTATAAAGTAAAAAATAATTAATGCCTTGATAAGCCACAAGAATAGACTCAAAATATTTTGCACATTTTAGTTGGGAGGTTAAAACGTTTGCGAGATTCTTAACCGTTCGGTTTTTCTTAACACGGATTCATAAACCACAAGTATAGACGCATGTTATTTTATCAAAATTAAATAACATTTATTTAGGAAAAATTTTGTGGCAAGGGATAAATGTTTTTATTAACAATTTACCATGCTTTCGATAACCTTAAAACATCTGCAAGATTTCAGGCAGCCGGCAACACGGACTCATAACCCACACGTACAAGAGTATCTTATTTTTATAAAATTTAAATAATATTTACTAATGTAAATTTTGGAGATGACGTCATCAATTTTGGTTAAGGTTGAATCATCTACACGAAATTTATAACATAGAGATAAAATTTGACAACATTCGGTCCGGCAGTTTTGGAGATTATCTGTCTAATAAAAATCCGAACAAATGGAAGCAAAGATCTAAGTTTTCGCACTCTAGGGGCCATGGAACGTCGAGAAAACACAAAAATTGCCAGTCGTCTAATAGATCCGATTAAAATGCTTCCTTAGCTTACGTTGTTGACACATACATACTTTAATTTTTAAATAAAACCTGTCTTTTAACATCCCACGTCCATTATTTTCAGAGATACTAAAACTATTAAAAATTTAAAAGTTTTCTAGATGATAAAATGTTATTCCATTTCACAGCAGTAAAACTATACGACGGAATTTTATCTCCATTATAACGGATTTCACTGGTAGATGTTCATTAACCATCTCCCTTGTGCTCACTCTTGTCCACTTTTTAATTTAAAAAATTCGCCCAGTTTGTGTAGCACTCACACTGGTAAATTTTCCAGTCGTTGCTAAAATTATTTAGCGTCCAAATCTAATCATTCAAGTACCAAAAATATCTAAATAAGACTAAATTAATACCAGATGTTAGCTGAAGTAAGCTAACAAAAAATCTTTAAACAGAGCTTTCCCAACCCCTTTAATTAATTTTTTCAACAACGTCGTTAATTTTCGGGAGGTGCTGAATAAATAAATTTTGGTAAATGATCTAATATTTAAATCAGTGTCAGTTTTTATTATCTTTTTTAGAACAACTGTCGACGTAAAACTAAAAATAGATATACCTATTGAGCCACAACTAATAGAGCTGCTGCTAACCAATATATATATATATAAATAATAAAGTCCAATAATAATTATTTCACCCAAATTTTATTTCAAATAATTTTTTGTGCACTGTCCGTATTAAGATGTGAGCTGAAACTTAACGTGGCGTTTTGGCATCTTTTAATATTAGTTAAAGTGGCACTTTGGCACGTTCTTACTTATACCTAGATTAAACTCGCTTGCATATTCTGCAACTAAAAAGTCATTAACCAAGAGAATAGCTTAAAAAACAAGGAAAGACTGACCGCAGTCGGTTTGGAACTCGAAAAATAAACTACCAGTCCACGTTTAAAAATAATGAAAAACGCGAAAACCCATGAAATAACCCCAACAAACACAAAGTTTTGATAAAAACTGAGGGTGAACCGCAACCAACCAGCATAGACAAACAAACTTCGCAAAATTAAACGTCAGTTACAAAAGTCAACTTTTTAGCGTGTCTGAACCAAGCAGCTTTCACAAGTGACAAGTCAGCCAAAACTTTCGCGGTCTAAAATCACCACTCCGGGCTCCCGGAATTAAACCGGATCAAACACGCTCCTGCGTCGCTAGGACATCACCTACAAAAAGTGATTGTGTCAATCAGTATGCATAATAGAGCAGAATCGATAACGTGAAACGATACGCGCCAGTTACCATAGATAACCATCAAAAGACCATGAAAGTCCATGGACTCCATTAAAATAAAAATAAAATGTTTGTGTGTGAATCTCCGATTTCTCCCTTTATCGACTCACCTTTCTTTTCCTACAACTTCAGCAACAGAACTCTCCCGCGGCGCTCATTTTTCGCGATTTCGACTAAGCACGTGACCGGCGTCGGAGGCGGCGTGTCGAGCGTCGCGACGCGTCAAACACTGACTCGCGACTCGCAGCAACTTTCTCTGGAGGTTTTGGAGCGCGCAAGCTCCACCACTCGAAATTCTGTTTTCATTGAGGAGAAAAAAATGCGAGAGGAAGCTGTTTACAAATAAACGGCACACGTCGTGTGGGCGGATGGATTAATTTGAATTTTTTAAATCGGGCAAATGTCTGGCACTGCTTAAAAGCGACGGTGGAGAGGGAGCCAGAATAATCGGATCAGCTTTTAGCGGCTTATTTTTCGGCGGGAGGGAAATGAAAATTTTAGAGTTGGAGTTGTTGTCTCTTTGAGGGTAATTGGAGATTAAGGTTTTATTGATTGGAATGCTGTGAAAATGATTGAATAATTGATGCCGGTGTGGCTGATTCGGACCAATTACTTTGTGGCCAATGCAAAAATAAACGGTGGGAGGGGTGGAAGTTCGACGTGAGGCTTTTTCCTGACGGAAAAGTCGCAAGTTAGAAGCAATTCATTTATACGATAAGCGTTTTTTGCCGCAGTTTTTGCCCGTTCGCACTTTTATCGCACACGAGTGTCGTGTAGTAAATTCTAGAATAATAACAACCACAATTACCCACAAAACGATACATTTTATATCTATTATTATCTTGATACTAATTATCTAAAAAAATATTGGACGTGTTGTAATTATGACCACACGTGGCAACGCCAGCGTGAAAATAATACGGTATGTTACCCTACCGCTAAAAAACAACAAGCAATAAATGAATAAATTATCCGAATAATAACGTGATATGTTTTTTAACCGTAGAAGAAACCTGTCAGATTTGACCTTACGCAGTTCACCGATCGCTATAAGAATGATTAATAGATGCTTCTGATCCAGCCAAACACTGATCCTTCCAACAAATGCGTATTTGAGATAATACACAACCTATGGTGGATGTAAACACACTAATGTGAACTTAGACGCACGACAAGATCCCTATTATTTACAGAAGACAAAGATGCGGTTTTATGAAGTACGGAATTCGGTCTAAGTGTCTTCCGCTTCGAATCTCTGGTGGTGTAACTCCCGAACTAATCCTATGAAAATAGGGGAAATTACCATACATCTTGAGGCATCTTTTGTTAGTAAGATAAGGTGACAGATGTGAGGATATTATAATTTGACAAGGAACTGGCATCTGTTGCCTCTTATGGTTAAATTCATTAGAGAGGGGTCCGCCAAGATTACGTCACGGCTCATTGAAATCATATTTTATAAAGTGGACTTTTTCATGTTTTTGATGTTCACGTTAATTTTGAATTTTTGTGACACAGATTGGTCAAGGCAGAAGTATATATAAATATATAAAAATGTGGACGCTTAGACACAGAGATTCTTTCAAATTATCTTAAAAACAAGACAAGAGCCCCGAGATTCATTCAAACTAAGTACTTAAAAACAAAACACAAGGGATACCTGAGATTGTTTAAATTACTTCAAAAACGAGACACACCGGGTCCCCGAGATTCTTTTAAACTACAAAAAAAAAGGAAAACACAAGTGGTCCCCCAGTTTCTTCCAAATTACCTTAAAATTAATACCTGAGATTCTTTCAAATTACTTCAAAAATAAAACCCACAAGGGGTCCCCGAGATTGTTTGAAATTACTCCAAAATCAGACACAAGAGGCTCCCGAGATTCTTTCAAACTACTTCAAAATCAAACACAAGAGGTCTCCGAGGTTCTTTCAAATTACTTAAAAAATAAGACACATAAATGGTGCTCGAGATTCTTTCAAATCACTTCACAAAGAAAACATAAAGATCCCCGAGATTCTTTCAAATTACTTCAAAAACAAAACACAAGCAGCTCCCGAGACTCTTTCAAATTACTTCAAAAATAAGATCCACAGGGGGTTACCGAGATTCTTTCAAATTACTTCAAAAACAAGACCCACAGGAAGGCCTCGAGATTCTTTTAAACTACTTCAAAATCAGACACAAAATGTCCCCTACATTCTTTCAAACTACTACGAAATCAAGCACAAGAGGTTCCCGAGATTCTTTCAAATTACTTCAAAAATAAGACCCACAAAGGGTGCTCGAGATTCTTTAAAATCACTTCAAAAACAAAACATAAAGATCCCCGAGATTCTTTCAAATTACTTCAAAGCCAAGACAAGAAATCCCCCAGATTCTTTATCAGACTACTTCAAAAACAAAACACAAGGAGCCCCAGAGATTCTTTCAGATTACTTCAAAAATAAGATCCACAGAGGGTTACCGAGATTCTTTCAAATTACTTCAAAAACAAGACCCACAGGAAGCCCTCGAGATTCTTTTAAACTACTTCAAAATCAGACTCGAGAGGTCCCCGAGATTCTTTCAAATTACTTCAAAAATAAGACCCATAAAGAGTGCTCGTGATTTTTTCAAATCACTTCAAAAACAAAACTTTAAAGATCCCCGAGATTCTTTCAAATTACTTCAAAGACAAGACAAGAAGTCCCTGAGATTCTTTATCAGACTACTTCAAAAACAAAACACAAGTAGCTCCCGAGACTCTTTCAGATTACTTCAAAAATAAGATCCACAGGGAATCCCCGAGATTCTTTCAAACTACTTCAAAATCATATACAAAAGGTCCCCGAGATTGTTTGAAATTACTTCAAAAATAAGACACATAAAGGGTGCTCGAGATTCTTTCAAATCACTTCAAAAACAAAACATAAAGATCCCCGAGATTCTTTCAAATTATGTACTTCAAAGACAAGACAAGAAATCCCTCAGATTCTTTATCAGGCTACTTCAAAAACAAAACAAAAGCAGGCCTAGAGACTTTTTCAGATTACTTCAAAAATAAGATCCACAGTGGGTTTCCGAGATTCTTTCAAATTACTTCAAAAGATTCTTTAAAACTACTTCCAAATCAGACACAAGAGGTCCCCTAGATTCTTTCAAACTACTTCAAAATCAAACAAAAGAGGTTCCCGAGATTCTTTCAAATTACTTCAAAAATAAGACCCATCAAGGGTGCTCGAGATTTTTTGAAATAAATTCAAAAACAAATCACTAAAGACCCCCAAAATTTTTTCAAATTACTTCAACGACAAGACAAAAAATCCCTGAGATTCTTTATCAGCCTACTTCAAAAACAGGGTTACCGATATTCTTTCAAATTACTTCAAAAACAAAACCCACAGGAAGTCCTCGAGATCCTTTTAAACTACTTCAAAATCAGACACAAGAGGTCCCCTAGATTCCTTCAGACTACTTCAAAATCAGACACAAGAGGTCCCCAAGATTCTTTCAAATTACTTCAAAAATAAGACACATAAAGTGTGCTCGAGATTCTTTCAAATCACTTCAAAAACAAAACATAAAGATCCCCGAGATTCTTTCAAATTACTTCAAAGACAAGACAAGAAATCCCTCAGATTCTTTATCAGACTACTTCAAAAACAAAACACAAGCAGCTCTAGAGATTCTTTCAGATCACTTCAAAAATAAGATCCACAGAGGGTTACCGAAATTCTTTCAAATTACTTCAGAAACAAGACCCACAGGAAGTCCTCGAGATTCTTTTAAACTACTTCAAAATCAGACACAAGAGGTCCCTTAGATTCTTTCAAACTACTTCAAAATCAAACACAAGAGGTACCCGAGATTCTTTCAAATTACTTCAAAAATAAGACCCAGAATGTGTGCTCGAAATTCTTTAAAATCACTTCAAAAACAAAACATAAAGATCCCCGAGATTCTTTCAAATTACTTCAAAGACAAGACAAGAAATCCCTCAGATTCTTTATCAGACTACTTCAAAAACAAGACACAAGCAGCCCCAGAGACTCTTTCAGATTACTTCAAAAATAAGATCTACAGAGGATTATCGAGATTCTTTCAAATTACTTTAAAAACAAGACCCACAAGGAATCCTCGAGATTCTTTTAAAGTACTTCAAAATCAGACACAAGAGGTCCCCTAGATTGTTGATGATATTTTGCGTAATATGGATAGGGGAAACGTTACTGCATTAACTTTATTAGATCTGTCTAAAGCTTTTGATTCCATCGATATTAATTGCTTGTTGGAAAAATTATCTTACTACGGTGTAACTAATTCTACCTTAAAATGGTTTAATAATTATTTGCACAATAGAAACCAGGTTTGTCGCATAAACTCTGTCACAGGTCAAGACACTTCTGCCACTCGTGACATTAAAAGAGGAGTTCCACAGGGATCGATTTTAGGTCCTCTCTTGTTTTCCGTGTTTATATCCGATATTCAGTTTGTGCCTAAATACTGTACCTTGCACTTGTACGCTGATGATATTCAAATGTATTTAAGCTTTAATCCCCAAGATACAACAGCTCCGATTAAGATTAATGAAGATTTGGCAGAAATTTTTCAATGGACTGCTTGCAATTCTTTTTATTTAAACACTAAAAAATGTAAAAACATAATATTCGGTTACTCTACTTTAACGGCAAACATTCATCTTAATTTAGTCATTAACGAACAACAAATTCCCTGTGAAAGTGTTGTTAAAAATTTAGGTGTAATCCTTGATTCATGTCTGAATTTTTCACAACATGTTTCTGCATTATGCCGTTCAAGTTATTTTAAACTAAAGCAGCTTGTTCCTCTCAGACAATCTTTAGAACAGGACACTAAACTCATTTTAGTTAAATCAATAGTATTGTCTAGCTTAAATTATTGTACTCAAGTCTATGGTCCGTGTCTGTCGGAGTATGACAAAATCAAACTACAAAAAATTCAAAATAGTTCTGTGAGATTTATTATTAACGTACCGAGATTTCAACATATTTCACCATATATAAAACTTTTAAAAGAACTTAAGCTAAATGAACAGCGTTTCTTACATTACGTAAATTTCATTAAAAAGATTCTAGAAATTCATGTTCCTGAATATCTTTTTGCTAAAATGATTAAAAGAAATGAAATAAATATAAGAGACTTAAGACATGTTGATCAACGACTCGAGATTCCTGTTCACAGAACTGCAAAGTTTCAGTCGTCTTT